GAAAGGTCACGTACTATGCTGAAACCGACACCAGCCCGTTTTATTGGGATGTGCATACAAATGGTTAAAGTTTTAAGGCAGAAAAATCAAGCACCTGAGATGGAGTGCAGTCAAGTCTCGTGATGACTTCACGCTAACAAGTGTAAGTGACACATTTACAGAACAGCAACGTAATGCCGAGTTGAATGGTGCCACTTTGCACATCGAGTGACGACTAGTTCAAAAGTTATTCACATACATGTCTGGATATAATCAGTTTTTGTCACCATGCATTATTTCCCAGTTAACTTCAACATGGGGCGCGACGATCCCAAGAATGCTGACCCCTTTGGTTTTCCTTACGAAAACTTACCAATGTAGCACAGCTCAGAGAAGGAGGGTAGGAGGGTATGACTCGGCTTACCACAGGACATCAAAAACTTTGACCTCTGGACGTCACTGCATGTGGTATCAATATTCGTTGCGTCCATACAAAACGCGTGATGATTGTCGAGCAGGGCGACCTATTGTGCTGAGACTGATATCAAGTCTGTTTTAGGTTGAATGCGCTCACGAATTAAGTGGAAGGGTAATGGTGAGAAATGTATCCACCTTTAACCTTCGTTTCTGGAAACGTGTCACATTTGTTTGTGTGAGGTCATCGCATGACCCGACATGATCTGCACTACAGTTCAGGTGCTTAACTTTCCACCTTGAATCTGGGTCCTAATTTGCGTGAAAATTAAAATAAAACAGACTGATAATGGCTCAGCACATTTGGTTGCCCCCTTAGCAATCATCACCCGTTGTATATGGACGCAACGAATATCGATCTGACATGCGTTGGCGTACAGAGATCAAAGTTTGTGATGCCCGTGAAAGGCGAACAAATACCCCTTCATCGGCTGAGCTACGCTTGAAACAATGGCTTTTACAGAAAATCAAAGGGGTTAGGATTTCAGAAGTCGTTGGGTCCTATATTAGAGTCAACGGGAAATAATGCATTGCGACAGAAACTGATTATATCCAGACATTTATGCGTGCGCGTCACTTTTGAACTAAGCGTCATACTACCAAGCAAGTGACGTCACTCAACTCAGCATTGCATTGCCGTTCTGGAAATGTGTCACTTACAAGTGTTGACGTGTGGTCATCATGTGATGACCACACGCCAACGTGATGACACCAACGCTTGACCGCTTACGACCTCTGGCGGGTTAACTGCTCAATGTTCTACAAAAAAGCTTTTGAGTATACTGTCCGTGCTCTCTGCCCTTCCTTTTGTACAGCTTCGTGAAAATCAAAGGGCCGGCGATTTCTGCTGAATATGAATATCAGGCTGCTGCTAACTTAACACACGTCTCGAATAAAATACTCTGAAAACGGTGCCTTGGTTTCGTCCATCCTGCTTTCGGTTGCATTTTTCGTCGCTGGTGGACCTCCACATATTTTCTATACGTATGTTTTAATCATCTCACGGCCTTGCCAGGCATTTGATGCGAGTACACAGTGCCGACGCGCTGTCAGTCTATTCTTCGTCTTTTTGGGAGAGGGCGGGGGTGGGGGCAAGGCTAAAAGCGTCCTAGTGGCTTTCTTAACGAGCAATGGCCGACGAGCTCGAGCTATTGGTGTCGTTTAAATACGAGCGCAACACACAGGCACGGTTTCACTCCCCTCCCTCGATCATAAATTATAAGAATACGTCGCCGCGTTTTGCAAGCAAGCTGCAGACACGAATTATGACGCCACGTGTCGTCTACACAGGTTTTCTAAAAAAATGTCCTGTGCACAAGTGATTTGGCAGGTGGCGAACGTTGGTGTCGAGTATTGCTACGCAACCAGTACTCGTAGAACGTTTCCCTCTATAAGAGTAAGATATGACCCATTCTATTCGTAATATTTTAGTCCTTCATGTTGAAAATGCGACATATTCCATTCTACTTGAAAACACACTGATGTAATCGCAAAAGCGATGCCGGCAGTCGTAGCGCATGGACGTCTATGAGTGCGACGAGTACCGGTCGAGTGATATCCCTGGTCTGCTGTGGTGTGGAGAGTGGCCCTTTAGTTCGGCCTAGGCACAGTACTGGCTTACGAAGTTTCCATTTAGTGGAATTCTCCGACAGGGGCGCAGATTGTTCCAGCCCGAAAAAGGCAAGTTTATGGAAATTTTTACCGACATTTTTACCTACGTGAAACGCAAAAAGCACACAACTGATAACAAAAAAAGCATGACGCAAGAATCGGTGCACGCCCGCACTTGCAGCCGAAAGCGTTGCTCTGTGGGGCCGCGCACCCATAACGAAATCAGTCAACCTTCGACTCACTGAGTGCGGTGTCACATTTCCATCAGTAAACAGAGCCTCTTCGCTGCTGAAGATTAGTTTTCAATGGGTCGATCGCTATCTTAGAGCTGTAAAGCCGTTATTTGACGAGGCGACCGGGGGCGGAGCGCAGGCGCTATCTCAGCTGGCCTCGGCTCCCGGTACCGGTGCGGTGCGGCCGTGGAGCCGGGCTAGACTCGCGCCGCTTCACTGCAGGACCGCACCGTCGGGCTGGCCGGCGGCGGCGTGGCGGGCCGCGGTCATCGTAAACTACGCAGCGTGTTCTCAGACTTCCCAGACTTGTCTCCCACGCAGCTCGGCGCAGCGCCTTGCCGGCGTTTCATCCTCGGTGGTGCGGGATACTGGCTGGGACTCGCGAAGCGGAGTTGGGGGTTGATATGCGCCGACATCTCAGGCAAGGCTCGGCACGTGGATAACTTGCATTCATCCACAGGTCGCAGGCACGTGCTAAGTGGAGTCATCCAGTAAGCAGCAGAAGAGATCTCAAACCAAAATAGGAGGACGGCATGAGATCAGTAAACTGCTCCTGTCACAACTAACTTGGGCCGGCGACGCATAAGCGGCTAGTGAAATAATATGTTATAAACTCACATTTATGCGAACGAAACAAATCGGCCGACGCCATCATCACCTTCACCTCTGATGGTCTACCCAAGCCCTTTTCCTATTCTGAGATATCTTTTGACCGTTTCTGCGGATTTAGACGTTTTCAAAGCAAGTGGCCTGAGAGCTGGTCGCGAGAGCTGAAAACAAATAACCTACGAAAGTTGGGCTGCGGCGAATATTGTGCACACGGTTTCCATATTGTGGAAAGTCTCAGATGACCTATTTGTTAAAAGTGTCTGAGTCGAATATGCTTTGCTCGCCGCAGGGGCGCAGTCAGGATTTTCTTAAGGAGTGTGGGGGAACTCGTGAAGTACGCATGTCGCATCACGCCGATTTTTAAGCTTCTCCGGATGCCATCTGTGGTGAAAGGCGCAAAATGCTGGATCCAGGGGAGGCTTCCCGCCCACGCTTGGCAGCGTCCTGGTTCTCTGAGCCGATCATATTAAAGGAGAGTCCGAAAGGATCGAAAAACCACAAGAGCTTTCGCCCGAATTTTTTACGTCTTTACTTACTCAGTGTTCACAAAGACATGCAGAGCCATACACCACAGAGCTATGCATTTATGTCATCTTTATGCCTTGCAACTGCGCTCAATTATGAGTCGACCGTTATTTTTATTTATTTTATTTTTTACTGAGACTGAAAGTTGTGTGAGCCATGTTTTCGCTGTGGGCGCCTATGTACACCGTATCATAATTTTCATCCGGCCGATAAATATATCGGCGAAGCCACAACCGTGTGGCAAGCTCTAACCGCCGCCTCACATCCCCGCCAACAGCGCTCACTGTCACCAATGCACTCAGCATTCCTTCATAGGGCAACCAGAAGACGGCCCGTTCCCATCTCGCTCTGTCGCATTCTGCTGATGACACCGTCAAGGCAGCTCACGGCATGTAAACACATCCGGTCCACAGACGCGTTCCCAGAGCTGCAAAGTCGCTGGACTGAGGCTTGAAACCTTGTGTCTATCAATGAGGCCCTTTTTGCAAAGTGGAGCGTGCGAGTTAATAACAAAGATTATCATTGTCAGGCACCATAATAAAAGAATTGCCAATATATATTGACCTGACGGCTTCTGGGAGGCATCAAGATGGGATGGATCGGTGCCTTAAAAAGTATGTAATATTTGATCAGGCCGATGATCAAATATTACAATTTGATCAGGTTGCATGACGCGTTGTTTACATGCTTCTGTGGAAGGCAAACGTTGCAGATTTTTTTCGTCTACGGTATGGCCGGCCCCGTCAATACCGGTGAAGTGCATAGATGACTGTGCTAGGACTACACGACTGCGCAAATATTACGTGCGGATATTGGCGACGGTCAGCTGACGTGCAGTGCCAGTAAATTTCTCGCGACCCAATATCCCACGGTCTAGACCATAACGTGCCGTATTCGCGACGAGCTCGAGCATGGTTTCATTCGGCCTTCTACCAGCCGATTACTGGTCGCGCCTGCAATGCGGGTCACGAGTGCTGCGACGTCATGGCCGTGTGGTCGATGTGGGTTATGTTACGGTTGTATCTGCTCTGCTTCATCCCTTCTGCGCCATTTTGGAAGTTATTTCTCATCTTGGACATTCTGTGCCTTGGACATTCTGTACTTTGGACATTCTGTACCTTGGACATTCTGTACTTCGGCAATTCTGTACCTTGGACATTCTGTACTTCGGACATTCTGTACCTTGGACAACATGAATGCCTCCCGTCGAACGACGAAGTTTGCATGCACGGTGCGCTAGTGAATTTTCGGGCTTTCCGCGATGTGATTCCTCCCGGTCCCAACAGATCAATGGTTAACGCGCCGGATCCGGTGGTGAGAGGTCGTGTGTTTGAAGCCGAGGCAATGTACAGCTTTTCTGTCAGCCTCTCATGGAATATTCTGAATTTTTTGCTAGCAACCAATGCATATCGTTCTCGTAAAGCAACGTACAATTTTTGAGTCTTGGTAAACGAATCCACCGAAATCCATCGAAAAATTGTGTTGTATCAACTATAGCGCATTTACGAAAAGCTGTTTTAGTTGTTTTCCTCTGTGTAAACAAGCCCTCCGCCGTACAAAACACAGCAGTACGGGGCGTACAGCGCGATGTATTCACTCCCAAACCAAGGGTCATCTCCGCAGCCCGTCCGCTCTCACGACCAACGCCGGCCGCTGGGCTGGCGATGACGGCGGACGCGCAGCCCTATGCTATAGCACAGTCGCACATGAAGATGGTCTCAGCGAAAGGTCGTTTTACGTTGGGTGTGTCTAGGTGTGAAGGTCATTGATTGACAGCGCTCCAGTAGAAGAGTCGCGGGAAGCAGCCTTACAAAGATACGGAAAAGAATGTCACGCAGCGTTGTTAAGTGCATTCGCGAGAACATTACGCACATAGATAAGACGGAAGTTACACCTTATTGATCGGAGAAAACCCGGATAAATGGAGTTATGGATGCAGCTGATATTTCGGCAACATGCCTTCATCGAAACGAACAGCAGAAGCGCGTTGCATAGCTTTGAATCCACTCCTGCTCTTTGCTTCGATAAAGACAAGTTGTCGAAACATCAACGTGTCTATGTCCCCATTCTCCTGCATTTTTCTCCGAAGAGTAAGACAAGAATGTCATTGAGAGCGAAGCAACAGCCTTTACACGTCACGAGAATCGTTGGTGCATACGGATGTCCGCAAGACATGAGCCCTGATATCGGGACTACCAAACAGCTCACGGGCACCCACCAAACACCCTCACGCTAACACTGATTCAGTTCAGTTGCGCTGCGGTCGTAACAGTGCTAACAGGACCAGGTGCACTAAAAAAAATGAGAGCCAAGTATACAGCCGCGAGCACAAGGCGCCCGAAGCGAAACTGCCTGACCTCCAGATCCGGCGATCACGTAAAGGCCGACGCCTTGAATGAAGGGCGCCGACAGGATTCCGAGTTACAGACTTCGCACGATCCTTGCAAAATGGCCACTACACGAGATGTTCACCAACAGGCACGAATTCTTCCCGATTCAGCCCAGCCCCGCACGGTCGCACCAGAGGGAATGAACGCCACGGAAACAACTGTAGTACTCTTCGCGACCCTCCCAACCGGGCGGGGAGGGGGAGGGGCAGCGGCGGCGGAGCTGACCGCCAGCGCCGCTCGACGGAGGCCGAGTCCGGCGCCAGCACATGGCAGATGACGCCAGTGATGATGATCCGCGCCGCCCAGCGCCAGGCGAGACCGAGTCTCGAAGCGCCCAATCGACGGTGTCGCCACCTATCTACCCGGCGGGCGGGCATCAGCTGGCGCGGACAGACTTGGCGGCGCTGTCGTCGCCGCGCTCGGCCGGCCGCTTGCTGCGGCTCTTGGCGGCGGGCGGCCGCTGCCGGGGCCCGGCCGAGCCCTCGCCCGGCACGTACCGGTCCAGCGGGTTGGGGATGCGGGTCAGGTCCAGGTCCTGGTCCACCCTGTCCACCACCATCAGCCTGCCGGGCACAGCCGGCGCCGTCACCGGCGCGGCCGCCGTGCTCACCGAGGACACGCTTGGCTAGGAAAGCCCCCATGCTAAGCGGCGTCTTAGAAGTGATCGGCTAATACACAAAGGGGAGTGGACTGGAAGAAGGGCTGATCGCACACACTGGCAGCAAGATCGCATTGAGCAACAAGGTACGCCTCCGGGTCCATCGCTCCGCTGAAATTTTCCCTTCCCGAAGTTTTCAGCACTTATCAGCACGCTCCGGCCTGAGTGCAGTGGGTGGAGGGAAATTATGGTGGAGCATAGGACGTATCACAGAGCACAGGCGAGGGGAGACGTATCGTGCCTCTGATGATACCGCAGCTGGGATAGCCTTATAATGCACCAGACAGGATGGCCTATCATGCACTAACTGGGATGGCCTCTCGATACCCTGGCTGGACATGGTCTCAAGATGTACCAATTGTTGCCTCATGGGACCAGGACCATGGAGGTGCCATGATCCCCAACTGTGATGGCCTCAGTCGTACAACAGCTAGAATGGTGTCATGACACACCAGCTTGGATGACACCATGATACACAGCCATGACACAGGTCTCACGATACACCATCTGGGATGGTTCGTGGTACAACAGCTATTATGGTATCATGATACACCACCTGGGATGGTCTCATGATACACCAGCTGGGGTGGTGCCATGACATGCAGCCATGATAAAGGGTCTCATGATACACCACCTGGGATAGTCTCATGATACACCAGCTCGGCTGGCCTCACGCGACTCACCGCTGCTCCTCGCTGGCCACAAACAAGTCGCCATCCTGGTGTCGCAGCAGGTGAGCACTGTACGCACGCTCGTTGAAGAACACACTCGTGCAGCGGTTGCAGCGGATCACGTCCCTGCAACAGCCAAACGGCTCGAACGGTCTCCAACAGGGGTGGGAGGTCACGGCACACAGCTGCCGGCCCGTGCAGGGGTGAGAGGTCACGGCCGCACGGCTCGGCCCGGGCTCTGAGGGCGGTGTAAATCACGCCACGTCAAAGTCAATTTACACAGCGATTACCCTTCCCCATCTGGATGACGAACGGTCGTTATTTACACAGGCAGGTGATTGCGTGTGGATCACGACATATCTGAGTGGATTTACACAGAGGCCGTCTGATATGTTTATGTAAAGAGGCCGTTCTATCTGGAGGTATCCATGGCCCTATTTGCAGTGCGTCCTTTATGTATCTGGCGGCCACGCTTGCCAGTAGCTAGCCGTGTGCATAATATTATGTGCAGCGTGCTCTCTCAAGGATAGAAGAAATGCATGGCTGAAAATCTAATGCTGTTTTGTGCTGTAGCCCACCAAGTACAAGAGCAGTAACGAACTATACACTAAAGGAACCTCATCTAGAATAATGCTCAACATACTATTTTTCACTTAAGTTTATCGCCAGTCTAGTTTGGAATAAGAACTAATTAAATAAAGAAAAAAATTAACTAACACGGTGATCAGCTGGCTCTAAAGTGTGCGTTGTGAACAGGGCCACTGTTCTTGGACGTCAAACCAGTCGGATATTTTACCTACACATGTTGAGTGGTCACCTCCTGGTGCTAAGGTACTCCATCAGCACCAACTGCACCACTTTTCTATGTTTCGTCTATCTTTTGTTGTTTACCTGTCTCCTTTCAAGCAAACTGGGTAAAGGGGCCGTTGTACCCTACAAAAACGCGTGCTGTAGATTTACAACGCGCGTGCTGTAGATTGTAGATAAACGCGCGTGCTGTAGATTTACAAACACGTCGTCCCGTGGGAGTTCAGCAGGCCCGACCCTACAGGCCCTGAGACCTAGACTGAAAGCCCCCGGGCTCCGGGCGGGACAAATGTGCCGCGTTGGCGGGTCACAAAGTCGCATTTTTCGGCCGAACCTAGTAGTCTGAGCTCATCATTACCTGCGTACCACCCCAGCACAGGCGTTACAGCAGTGGGGAACTGCGAACTGAAGTGGGGCCGAGAGGGAACGCTCACATGAACTTCGGTATCATACCGGTCCGCTCGGCGTGAGCGTCTGCGGAGTGACGTCACGTGCAAGTGGCTTCAAAGCGAGATATTACTTCAAAACTAAACCGCTCACGCCACACTGGCTACTAGTCACTGGCTCCACCGCCGAGTGGCGACACTAGCCACTCTGAAAGTTGTGTGCGTCGATAAATGACGTCATAGTTGCTGTCGCCTCCAGCCGCTCACCCTGGCACGGCGTCGCGGTCCGCCTGGTCGTGGCGGTCCAGGTGGCGGACGAGATTGTATTTAACAGTGTACTCGGTGCCACACAGATGGCAGTAGTAGCAGGAGCGCATCTCGCCCGACTGGCTGACGTCGATCTTCATACTGGGCGGCGGGCAGAACTTAGGCTGGATGATGCTCATCGATCTGGAAAAAAAACAAGCAACTGAGTCACACAGTACCTGATAAAAGCAACCGAGATCCTAAGTTTTCTAGCAGTATGAGTTCAGGAGTTTTTATGCTGACAACTTCGAACTCCCATATGCAATGAGGCACTGGTTTAAAGTCGTTGTGCAATGATAATTGGTTGTTTGTCAATGATGATGATGATTAAGGTTTTAGGGTGCACCGATTTCTGAGGACGTTTTGCGCCCATGACCGCCAACTGGCTACCGAGGTGTATAAACGGCTATAAACCCCACGCTAGTCAAAAATGAGAACAGCTATCCTGTCCCGTGCCAAAGCATGTAAGAATCGTCACCAATAATGTTCCGATAAGGTAAGACCTGCCGCATCACGCCCGAAATAAAGTGCCCTCTCTTCGCTGAACTGTGGGCAAGAGTGAAGAACGTGGCGACGAACCGTAAGTAGCGCATCATAACGAAGACATTTGGGCTGTTCTCCATTGCACAAAAGGTAGCTATATGTTGCGTGCGTGTGGCCAATTCGTCACCTGCTGACAATTACTTCCTTGCGTTCCATCTTGCGTGAGCTTGACGGACGATGGACCCAGCTATGGCTTGATCACCGTTAACTTATTGCTTACAGTGACCTCCCAGCAGTGTTGCCATTTCCCCTTCACAAAGGTCGCAATGGCAGGATACAAGTTTCTTGCCGGCAACGGTAAAGGGCAGGTGCGATGAGCACGCGGCGCCCGTTTTGCGGCCTGCATCAGCACGCTCGTTACCTGCGATACCCATATGATTCGGTATCCAACATAGGACGACAGTTTCCCTGCGAGCTCCAGCGCTGTCAGGCGGACTAAAATATCTTGTACAATGCGACAAAATGAGTTAAAGGCGGTCGGGGCCAACAGGACCTGACCGCCTTTAACCCGGCAACCTGCGCCAGGCATCTGTGGGTTGAGTAACTTTGGTAGGGGTGAACAAATCTGCATGGTGGGATTTGGGAAAATTTGGCGTGTACAATACGCGTGGTGGATGACCCTCGATCACGATCGCTGCTTGAACCAGAGATGTAGTCAGAGATGTGCCCGAGATATGAGTTGATGTTGTCAGATCCTTGGGAGTTGGTTGGAAATCAACGAAATCTCGATGCGAAGCAGAGCTAGAATTGATCCCGCTCCAGCAGAGCCAACCCCGAGGCAGCACATCCGCGAAAGATCAGAAGGGTGCGAGACTTCACTGGTATTTGTCACGTTCCGACTTCTATTCGCTGTGGCGACACCCGCAGTCACGTAGTAAATTTAGACCCGCCACATCAACTATTCCGAAGACACGGCATGATGAAAAACGTGCCTAGCATTGGCGAAATCCATACAGATTCCACCAAACGCTCACATCTCAGATGACATTACGTCAACACTGATTTAACACAGGCTAGACTCACCGTGAATGCACTGAGTTGAAGTGGAAGTCTCTGGCCTTGTTAACGTAGAACACAGCATCACATTCGGTACACGGGGTTTCATTGATGTCGCCCACGTGCTTGTGCGTCTTCACATGTAGATCGAAACTCATCTGAGGACATATTAATGGGGTCTTAAAGGAGCGAACGTTGGTGATCAGAACTGCCTTCCAACTCGCACGACGTGAATCTAAGGGAGACTGCCGGCTTTGGAGACTACCACGGAAATCCTCTACCATGACAACGAAAAATTGACAACGGATAACTTTGGGGGCGGTACTTTTTGGAAGCGCTAGACACTCGCGGCCTAATATGTTCCAGCTCAGTGGCAAGACAAAGGTGAACATCGCGTACTTTCGAGACGCCTCGGTGACATTTTTCGCGGGTAAAGTCTCAGTATTCCTGCTTTCACCCTGTCATCCTTGACATTTCTGAACAGCAACCAAGGTCACACATGGCCTTAAAGATGCTACCCGACTCGATTATTGAAAACGCTATACCCACATCATTGAAAGCCACGTACCTTAAGCGGGAATTGCTGGCCACAGTATGGACAATAGTATTTCGTCATGCTGTTGGGATGGACCTTGAACTTGTGTGTGATGGCGGCGGTCACCGTGGGGAACGTTTCCGCTGAAATCAGACGCATCCACACTCACGACCGGGCGTAGCACACAGGACATGAGGGACGGTGAGTGTAGTTACGGCTCGCGCGTCGCAGCAGTGGAAACTCCAGAGATCAGTAACAGTGAAGGCACAATCACCGGCTCCCGACGCTCGAATTCAGCGCACGCTGCGCATATGGTCCGACGAACATCGCCATCGACACCTCTCCGGGCTCATGGCAGCGCACTCACACCGAGGCGAGAGCACAACACAGCGCGAGACGGAGAGAGAGGGGTACAGATGGAGAGGGATATAGTAGTCAGAGAGAGACGGGGACCTGAGACGGGACGGATACGGAAGACGGAGACGGAGATCGGAGACGGAGAACGGAAGACGGAGACGGAGACTGGAACGGAGAAGAGAGAGAGAGAGAGCGAGAGCGAGAGAGAGAGAGAGAGCGAGAGAGAGAGAGAGAGCAGATGAGAGAGAGAGAGAGAGATAGGAGATAGAGAGAGAGGAGAGCGAGCAGAGACGAGAGAGAGAGAGAGAAGAGAGAGGGGTGGGGCGACGAGGGAGGTGGGCAACAGAGGAGGGGGGAGACCGAGGGAGGGAGGGACGACAGAGGAGGGAGGGCAACGGAGGGAGGGAGGGCGACGGGAGGGAGGGAGGCTGAAGGGACGGCGACGGAGGAAGGGACGGCGACGGAGGAAGGGACGGCGACGGAGGAAGGGACGGCGACGGGAAGGACGGCGGAGGAAGGAACGACGACGGAGGGAGGGACGGCGACGGAGGTAGGGACGGCGACGAGGGAGGAGGAGGGCGACGGAGGGAGGGAGGGCGACGGAGGGAGGGAGGGCGACGGAGGAGGGAGGGCGACGGAGGGCGACGGAGGGAGGGCGACGGAGGGCGACGGAGGGAGGGCGACGGAGGGCGACGGAGGGAGGGCGACGGAGGGCGACGGAGGGAGGGCGACGGAGGGCGACGGAGGGAGGGCGACGGAGAGAGGGCGACGGAGAGAGGGCGACGGAGAGAGAGAGAGGGCGAGGGAGAAAGAGAGGGCGATAGAGAGAGGGCGAGGGAGAGAGGGCGAGGGAGAGAAAGAGGGCGAGGGAGGGAAAGAGGGCGAGGGAGAGCAAGAAGGCGAGAAAGAGAAAGAGGGCGAGGGAGAGAAAGATGGCGAGGGAGAGAGAGGGCCACTCACTGCAGCTATCACACTGCCAGCTGACGTCCTGGGCGGGAGGGGGCGGCGCCGGGCCGCCTGTCTTGCGCGCCACCTCCTGCGCCAGGTAGCCCGGCCGGCGTTGGCGCGGCTTGATCTTGCCGTTTGCGTGGTCCCTGGCAACCGAAAAACAGACCTGGGTCACGGGCCGGCGAGGGATGACACGGCAATTGCCGTCAGCACCAGCTACCAGCCGGCCACACAAGATCTTGTGGCTTCTTCAGGGAACTGGGCCCATCATACAGATTTGCTTAACTCTGTCAATAACACCAAACAAATTCGTAATTCCCTCGACTTGATAAACACATAATTCCTAACATATCTGATGTTCATTCCTACCATTGCACCCTGCCTAGCAATTTTTTATTTAAGAAAAGACACATAAGTACTGTGAGGGTGCTAGAGGTTTACTGTGACATGAAGAGCCAGTGGGTGGCTGTACAGTGAATGTCACAAGAGATGCAAAGAAATATCACGACACTCTATGTGTGTAACTAACAGACATTTCTTTGATTTCCATTAAACCATCACTACAGCAGCCCCGATGAATATAAGTAAAGTCATTTTCAAGTTGTGACAAGGTAAATCATGATAGCTATATGCACAGATTTGCTTTCTGAAAGATGGAACCTTGAGCCCATGAACCTACAGTGATGAAATGGAGGAGATTGAAAGAAAACTGGTGCAGCAAATCTACCATACCAGCATTTTTGGTGACAAGATGCATGAGCCCCTGTCTTCAATTGAGGTTGGTGTAGCCTTTGTACTGCCACATGGCACCATGATGTGATCCTCCATCTGCCTTAACCTCTGACTGGCTTGCAATACACTTAGAAAACAATCACCTGAAGTGTTCCTGAAGCGCTGGCTTCGATTCCATCCGCGCATCGCACAGAACACACTTGTGCTCAGACGATGTCGACGCCATCGCACCTGAAACAGAACACACTTGTGCTCAGACGATGTCGACGCCATCACACCTGAAACAGAACACACTTGTGCTCAAATGATGTTGACGCCATCACACCTGAAACAGAACACACCACCTTTGGTGCGTTGTGCACAGAATCCTGCCACGGTACATGCATAGAGAGACACTAGCTCCATCTGGTTCTGCCTTAGATGTCCATTGAAATCTGGATTAACCCAGACTTTCTGTGTATATTGCCAAAGAAAAAGTTTGGACTTTAGATGATGATTTGTATAGCTTTCTAAGACTAGCAAACAGCATGAAGTGTCAATAGTGGCATGTATATTGCATCCAGTTGAATCTTAAGTTGCATGCCTGGGTTTTAGTGATTTCATATCACCTGACACTTCAGTTGTTGGAAATAAACCAACTGACTGTTACCCAGCAGGGTTCTGTACAAAACACACAAGCAGAAAACGTTTGAAAGCTAAGAGGAACCTTGAAGGTTTTAATAGTTCTGACACAGACTGCAAGGATTGTTTGGCAACTTAAGTGCTTTCAATATGGTAATGAGTAGTCACAGATCCCTGGGTCTGTTGGGAACATGGAATGGTCAAGGGGCCGTGGCAAACCACAGTTTTTAGGCATTTCCCGACTATTTGGGACATTGCGAAAGCTCATCTAAAAGGGTCAGATTGTGGGATATGAATATTTATATTTTTGAAGATATCACTGACAAATGATCATTGATATAAACACAAAACAATATATTTTAACCCAACTTCAGGCTAATGAAGATTTAGCTGTGTCCACACACTGAGAAGCATCCATATGACACATTCTTGCTCACAATTGGGCTGTGACAGTGTGAAAATGATACATCATGAATTGGTTCTTCTAACAGTGGCATGGTCTGCTGGTAATATAACTGGTTCATTTAATTCTGATGGTAGATGTTGGGACTTTGAGGCAATATTCATGCAACATGTAGTTTTATCAATGTATCTTCATTTTCAAGTATGCCTTTAAAGTGCAGTTAACAGGATAAAGTGTATAACCAGGACCACAATGTCAGAGGTAGCTCAGTCTCTGCATTATTCTCCAACCTCTGGAGTGAAATGGCAGATTTGATTCATGTTTATTTTGATCAAGCCTTACAAAAGTTACCACATTCCATGTTTTTCACACAATCAGGTAAAATTCATAATCTCCAAAGCTGCTTGACACCAACCAAAATTGAACAACTCAGATAACATCGCCCTTTGTGGTTTTTATTGTGTGAAACATTGGATAAAACCATATATGTTATGAAAGTAATGAGGTCCTTGATTTGCATGCAGACATGTCTTGAACACCTAAAATGCTGCCACTTTTTTGTTTTATTTGTAGCAGCAAAGTTGGACCAAACAACAGATGTTACAAAAGTACCATTTTCTTGTCCCCCATAAACCCAATGCTTTTGAACAACTTGTGCAATTGTGATGGCATGAAGGGAAATGCATGAAAAGCAAGGATACAGAGTGAATAAAAATGTTAAATTGAAACATTCTATATACTTTGCTTAGGCTATGTTAATAAGCCCAGTCCCCTGTCATACTTAAAAGCTGCAGACCAGGGATTTATTAAGGTATTTCCTTTTGCCCAGTATTCAGACTGGTATATGTGGCTTTCACCCTACAGTGAATAGCCAGTATAGCATGTGAATTTATTACATCTGGAACATGTTACCTAATAAAGTTGTTTCACTGCCATCTCTTTTTGAAGTAATAATATCATATTGACTACAGTGTGATAAACTTTTAACCCATCCCCAGGCAACTTGCATACAATTTTGGGTTCTGCATTTTGAGCATAATTACTACTGCTGTTGAAAGTTACTTGAGTTTCGCATTGTGCATTCTACATTGGCCATGCAGCACTAACCACTTGTAGGATGCAGACTAAACCCCCTACTTTTAGTTGCAATGGACTACTATGTGTTTTAACTATATACAATAGCCACAAAACAGACATGACCCTCAGAGTACTTCAAACTTGATTGGATCTATATATGCCACTTGCCCTACACCCCATTACCAATGTTTTGGTCACTCTTACCTTTGAAAAGAACAGACAGACTTCTGAGTCAGTCAAGGATCTACCAAAGTTCTGTTTCACTAACCTGGATTCTTACAGAAGTCACAACATATAATAGTTCAAAGCCATCACTGTATAACAGTGAGGAAATCCTCACATGAAAAAGCACAACAGGCTTACACAACCAAGGTTGTGTCATAGTCCATTGGGCACAAGCTTTACAAGGCTCAGAGAGGCTTCATGGTGGACTATGATCTTCATGCAAACCAATGCAATTGACATGTAAATGCAACCTGTGACAAGCAGCATGACAAAATTTAATATTTACTTGCAATTATATCATGTAAACCAGATCTCACAGAACATAGTTTTCATTCAGGGATGCAAAACATGTTGTGCTCAAACATAATAATAAATAGCAGTATATGACAGCAAACTTTCATATTTGTCCTCAAGGAGAAAAATACCAATGCAAATGCACAAGATAGGACCAAGCAGCTCCACCCAGGTCAAAAATTTGGATCTGTAAGGGCACATCTCAGAGGTCTCATGCACCCTGTACCTGAATTTTGGACAGTGGCACAAACAAACTGGGAAAAATGACCAAACAGTATTGAATGACAAGCCCTGAGCAATAAACACAATGTGGTACAAAATAAATCGCAATAAGCACGTGGATTATCAATAAGGTTTGGAACAAAGTGTCTTCACTTGGGGTTGAGAGCCCAAGTGTGTTTTTTAGTCTCCATAAACGCATGAAACGCGTCGAAAATGGTATTGTCCAAAAGTTGGCGGGACGAGCGCGCCACACATCCAGTCACTGCGACTGAAAGAGGAGCGCTCAGCGTCGAGTTACAATGAAAGCTTTTCGTCGCGTGGCACACAATAGTTTCATTTCAGCGCATGTCATACGCAGGTCTCACCGTGTTCACCACCACCACAACCTATCACCCAACCACCCGCCACTCACCTCCCCACGAAAACAGTAGCACGCGCGGCACAATCAGACCAAGGTCGTACAGGCTGGTGAAGCCATTTGGGGGTTATCGCATCATCTTACCTCAGCGTTGACGTGACGTCAGTGAAAACAAGCGAAGACTCAAGTGCGTCACGGGTCGTTGAACACGGGGAGTAATGCTGCGAGACAAGTGTACCTAGGACTAAGGGTTTCTCTTTCAAGGAACGTTGCAAGAATACCTGGGAATGATTGGCCAACCTTTCCTTAATATGAACGAAAATAATGTGCTTTTCTCGGAACTTAGTCCCCTTTTTTCTCAACTTTGGAAGATCTGGGGTCGTGGACAGAATAGGGAACTACACCACTGTAACCAGCCGGTATAGAAAGGTGGCAGCTCACTCCGCGATAATGGAAAAAAGTAAAAAGCGTTCGAAACGTTTACAGTTGGGCGCGGCAGGTGTCCTCGTGAGCGTGTGATGCCCATATATGGAGGTACGGAGACAAAATGAGGTAAAAAGGTACCTGAAGACACTGCAGTAACTTCCGGATGGTTTCATGATGGGCTCGTGGTTCTGAACACTTACGGGATTACTTGAGGTACTCACGAGATCGTGGGCGTTCTTCGTAGGCGCTACGCTATTTGCCTGGCGGGTATATTCGTCCACAATGAATTTGGCGTAGGCGCTTAGCGTATCAGGGAAAATCATATCGACATATTGGTATATCAGGGAAAATATAAACTAAACATCATAATCAATTTAAGGAGCAGATTTGGTTGTTCGTGTATCTGCAACTAATTGAGTGGATATTTATGTCGAGGACGCATGGCACAGGGACACAGCCGGACCCGAGACGGTCTCACTAGAATTACTTGCATCGCGACATCATCATCAAACGGGAGGAACCTTTTTTATATTCTGGAGGTTGTCACGACCAAAACACCGTCTCCAGAACTTGTCATACAAGCGACCCTTCATCTCATTTAGAGAGAATTGGTGCCATCAGCGTAAATGGCACACAAAGATGTATACGCGAATTCAAGGGGCCGAAATGCAGGAAGCGTCAGGGTTTTGGAGGTAGGTCAGGTAAATTTTATCGCCTGAGCTCCCCCCCCCCCCCCAACCGATTTTAAACACTGACGCCCAGCACATGAATCCAATAAGCGCCCGCCTCCGGTAGTATCCGGTGTTTGAGCTTCCTGCAATAGCCTTGAAGCCATGCTATTGAGCGGGCACTGCTCCACTTACCGAGCAAGGTTATAAATGTATTTAATACGCTGCTGTGGTTAGACCTCCATTCCCAGAATGGGTGCCCGGCTTTCGACAATGCGAGGTTTTCATGATGAAGCTTCGAATGTGAATGACGGCGAGGGTGACCAACATACTCATGCTGGCCATATTGCCGTCAAGTTGGAACTTTATGCAGAATGACGCGACGACTACCCCCCCCCCCCCCCCGCACAACAAGGCAATTGCGGTTATCTTGGGAGTCTCAGTGTGTCGCCCACTTTCCCATCCACGCGGCTTGCTCCTCTTCCCCCCCCCCCCCCCCCCACATGACATTGTCGTGCGGCAAAGTGCTGCAACACCGCGGACCGTGCACGCTATGGAGCGTGGCTGGGCAGTGGGCCGACGCAAGGAGGGCCAGACGTTGCTGACAGTTCGTGACTGTGCGCGTATGCTTAGAATGTAGACACCGTTGCTGTGTAATCATGTAGCTAGCTGACTCTTCCTGCTATCAAGACTTACTCACAGCATGACGATGCGCGTCTGCGAAAAATAATTTCCACAGCCCAATATATTCTATCAATCAAACCTACATACTTTGCGTGCCTTAAAACGATCAGCCAAGCTACGTGGTGGAGCGTTAGGTCATGAAAACCAAATTATGACACAAACGTGAGTTATGATCAGCGAATTGCGTGGATTATATGGCGAAATATTGTCACACAAGACCAGACCCCTGATACAATGAAATGCATATATAAGAAAACACACCCTGAACACCATCCAAAGCCTTTACAACAGACTCGCCATCGCCGACGTAACTGCATCATTTACCTTCCCAAGGGCTACAAACTACAACGGATGAGCTATTTCTTACAGTGCATGGCACATTCTCAACATACCCTGGTTAAAGTCGCCAACGTCTCAAAACTCAGACCAGCCTGAATGCGTCACGAAGTCGCAGCACGCGTAAGCATGGGGATAACTATTGACGATATGCAGCCCACACGAATAACTGGGCCACAAACGAGTACTGAATAGTTTGACTTCACCTGCTCGATGAGCGACAGGCATAGACGTTGCTTATCCTGGACAGGTTATCAGAGAACATTTCACATTTAGTCCAACGGTCTTCATTCACAGCCCGTATCGCCGCCATTGGTTAATCAAAACGCTGCACATACACTAGTGGCTGGCCTCCCCTGCCAACGCCCCAAAATGACGTCTTCTTCGTCCTTGCTCACAACATACCGCTTCCTTCTGTGACCGTCAAGGATAAGGAGGGGGTGCTCGCAGAGCTGCGCGCATCGGTTTCGGCCAGCGGCGCTGGCGCGGCCGCTCGGGAGCCGGCGCTGTGAGGCGGTGACCTCAGCAGGTGACCTCAGCGGCGCCGGCGACCCCCCCCCCCCCGTCAGATGCGGGGCGTGACGGAACCGTCACGTCACTGTCCGGTGGTGAGCAGCTCCGGGCACTGGTACGGGTAGCCGGTGTTGTAGCCGGCGCGGTCCAGCTTGCGCATGCACGCCTCGAAGTCCTGCTGGCCGAACTGGGTCGGCTTGCCCTCGCGGATGCGGCTCGTGTCCACGCCCTTGTTCTCCTCTTTCATCTGGAGGGTGGGGCAGACACCTCAGACGCAGCCGGAACCTCACTCGGGTCGGCACCCTTGATCTGATGCTCAAGGAAAACTAGCGCGCAAACGAGGGAGTCGGATGTCAGCGAAACGCGCCAAGTGCGTAAAGCATGAAGCCGACATGCTACACCTAGTTTAGCTCCTCTCGAGGCGTTCACGCCTCTCTCGCGTTCTTCTCACACCGTACCTTGGACTTTCGGGGGGGACAGACGGATGCCACCACCGACAGCGGGTGGGGATGATTGGCATAACGGTGGGTGGCGAAGGCGCAGGAGCCCGGCATGCCGCGGTGGCCTCGTCGCCGTCGGTGCTGAAGGCCGGCCGCGACCTGTCCAGCGGACATCTGACCTTGAGCATGTTCTCGAAGGCGATGCTGGGCACTTGAACAAGCCCGTCCTCGCCGGCGGACATCATGGCCACCTGCGACTGGCAGGCCAGCATGAAGAAGTCCAACAGCAGGTACGCCTCCTCCACCGTGCTGCCGCACACCACCACGCCGTGGTTGCGCAGAATGAGCACCTGTCGGCGGGAGAGGTCGAAGCCGGCCGTCAGCGGCGTCAGCCGTTCCGCACACGCTGACAAATACGGCACTGTTACACCCTGACAGGAGAACCCAGCCGGCAACACGCGGGAAAGAAACTGGTCCAACAACAATTTTGCATTTATTCTTAGTGTGCTGAACAGTATGGTAGCTTATAGTGTTTTCTATGCCAGAGAAACGCCGAATGCTGGAAACATTCCAAAATTACGCGCTCTCTGTGGCCGTAGGTACCCGCGTTCCAAAACGCCCGTTCTAAGCCTAAAAGTTTGCAGGCGCAGACAAAAAGATGTAAGAAAAAAGCTGCATGTTAGCAAGAGTAGTACGCCACAACTTTCTACAAACCTAACTCAAAATGTTTTAGGGAGAACTCGACCGCTGTAATAAATGACCCCGAAATAGGCTGCCACTTAAGTACCCGGCATCGCCACACATTGTTGGAACAAAAAATCGTGACAGCCCTGGTTGACTCTTCCCACCGGCAACACAACCGACGTGCGCTAAGGACCGTAAGTTCGGTCGGTTGCGCGTGCAAATTATAGCAATTCCTTGATGCTGTGCGATATCAACTTGGCGCTGAGATTTGCGACCGTGCCGCAGGTCTGGCGGCCACGCATCATCTAACATCAGGCGGCCGACCGGCCCTCGCCTTGTTCTTTTCGCCCAGGTTCTGCTGGATATCCTTCTTTTCAGACTCGTGGATGAGGATCCCCTGGTAGTCGTGGTAGCTGACGCCAGCGAAGCCGTGGATCACCAGCGCCTCTTGTGTGACCGGCATGAGGCCGCACTCCATCGTGGCCACCTGGAACGATACCATTGGCTCAGGGCACCACCCCGGTCAGACGCCTCACTGCGGCGCAGTCTGCAGCAGGGTCAGCCCAGGGTACCAGAGATGTCACTTCTTTACAAAAAGATGTCTAAGGCCCAATTTGACTGCAGAGAACACTTCCATTTCTGCTGAACTGGCCTGACCTTTCGCATCCTGTCCATATCGGTCCGCAGGGGTCACTAAAATGCGTTGATGTTGTGTCAGTCTCTCATCGAAGACATCCCTTGATGGCGGCGAAACTGAATATGACGCTGTGACGAAGCCTAAACCCAAAACGGACCTCAGCACGGATCAGTCTCCGACTGTGACCGGCGTCATATTTCAGGTGGGGTGACCTCAAGGTGGTGGTGCTGAGCAAAGCGCTTGACCGAGGGCTGCATACCCTCACGCAGGGGGTGGAACAGCACCCTTGGGCCAATGCACAGCCTATCCAATGGGAGGTCCTCAGACACAGAGACATGGGGACACGGAGAGGCAATACAGACACAGAAACAAAGGGACACGGAGAGGCAACAGATGCAGAGATGAACGGCAGGGCACAGCCAGACGGGCAGACCGACAAACAGCAGGAGGCAGGGACAGAGATAGAAGCAGATACAGAGCTAGGGGCAAACTTGGGCAGAGGAAAGTGGAGAGACAAAGAACCGTGATGAAGATGGAGGGAGACAGGGTGAGACAGCGAGCCCGCGACACAGCAAAACAGCAAAAGAGTGGAGGAGGGAAAGAGAGAGATGACAGTACTGACCGCCACGGCCTCAGGCAGGTGGACGTGCAGCGCGCAGAGCAGGTCGGGTCGCGTCTCGTGGATGGCCGAGTGCAGCACGTAGCCGGCCAGGTTGATGCCGGCCGGGCTTGAGCCCTGGTCCAGCACCGTGCCCGCCAAGTCGACCTTCACCAGGTTGGAGGCCGTCACCTCGTCATACAGCAGGCCGAACGGGTTCACCAGGAACTCCTCGTCGGTCGCGCTGATGCGTGCCTGCCGACCGCTTGGAAACGTCACGCGACGAATTTCCAACTTTTCATCGTAAAGTGGGATGGAAAAGGTCGAATGAAAAAGGTCGAACGAAAAAAGTTGAGGGACGAAAGGTCCACAGAGTTTAAAAGTAGACGGAACAAATCGAATGGAAAAAGTCAACGAAAAAATTAGAACAAAGAAAAGTTGGCAGGGATTAAAAGCGACAAGGATAAAGTGGAATCTGAAAAAATCGAAGGGCAAAAAGTTGACCGGGACTAAAGGAGGCAGGAATAATATTAGAACAGGAAAAGTCTTAGGACGAAAACTTCCAAGGATAAAAGGCAAAAAGGGAAAAAGACGAAATGGAAAAAGCGCAAGGACAAAACATCCGCAGGGATAAAAATAAAACACAATCAAAAGGCGAAAAGCCCAAAGGGACAAAAGCCGACAGGAAGTCCACGAGACACTGATGAGTGCTTATGATGACACAATGGTTACCATAAGCACATCTTGAAACGCCGTGTTCGCTCTATGACGCCGTTAAAAGGGAGTATGCCACCTTTCTTGTACTTTTCACTTATTACTAGATCATACGCGTCCGATTCGATCAGTGATACCAGTTTCCTCGAAATCCTTTTGAACGGCCCATAATTTCCACTTGAGGTAACTGCTCAAGGGGAAGAAATTTCATTGCACTCTCCGCACACCACAGCGAAGGTAGTACGTTTCATTCGCCTTGCTTTTTACAACGTGTTCCGTCATGTCTGCAACACACTAATTTGCCAAAATGCTTGCACGATCGATGCTACGAAAGCTTGAGGCACTCTGTTCCGAGAAGAAGAAAAAACATACATGCAAACATGAACCCATAATCCCGCAAACTCAACGAAAGCCAGGGTTATGCCCTGGCTTTGAATTTTCCGCTGTGCCGTTAACCAAAGTAAGCCTTTTCGAAGCGCACTGCAGGCTTTCAGAAACGGATTATTACATAGTCTGTGGTAACGCGCTGATCGGAACTCAAACCAATGCGCTTTTCGGTAAATGGTCCTTGCCGTCCGTGGTGCTAATCACATTCATTTGTATTGACGCTATTCACACCAGAAGAGGTGCCACTTTTAAGCCCGTAGGCTCGCAATGTGCGATAACAATAGCTCAAAACCGGCACCTCTAAGCGGTAACAGCTGGCAACGGCCCTCAGTAGATCACCCCGTCGTCATGATGGCGGCGGTCGCGACAACTACAGCTGTTGCGGACTCGGGATGCACTCCGGGGCTATCAAAAAAGGAAGAAATTGAGTGACGCTCAAACCGCCGTTCGCTTTGTTTGAGCGGCGTTCCAGACAATTGACAGCGCAACTTGGACTCGAAATGTCAAAATAATCAAAATGTATATCCTTATTGTGTATTGACGGCGCTCTGGTGGCGCCACCCAGTGCCATTGTTAGACTAAATGGCTTGATGGCTTCACCAGTCTGCTTTTGATATATGCCCGAGAGGTGGAGCACTCCCTTTAACCATGGATGAAATACCACTTTAATGAAATACTATGCTGAAATACCACAAGGATGAAATACTCCTACAAATTCTACTACAATGTGTTATCCATGCCTTAAACGTACCTCGCGGTAAACTGAGTGTCAATGACTTGGCATAGGAACTCTGAACTCATGATGCCGAATGCAGGGATAACTCCTTTTCTGTTGGGGGGGGGGGGGGGCTCAGCCCCCTTGATTTCCAGCTAAGTCGAACAAGAACTAGATCTACGAGCTGAAAGCGAACGGCGGTTTAAGACCGACAAAGCATGATTTTGTAAAACTCAGGTGGTGACATTCATGGTCATCTTAAACACGAAATAGTGAAATGCATCAAGACACAGCCAACACGGCAATTTTTAGCAAAATAGACAAAACAATGATATTGGCATGGTGCGGTACAGACATAAAGAATCATCCAAATATTGTGGAAATCTTGAAAGCACCATCATCAGTAAGGACTGAGTATGGAGGAGAATAGTGAACAGGTCCCGTCGGATTTCGCCCGGCTCCGTCCGGTATCGTCCAGTTACGTTCAGCTCCATCTGGTACGGTCCGGTTCCGTCCGGTTTTGTTCGGTCCCGTCCATTCCCGTCTGGTTCCTTTCGACCACAACCGGTGACGTCCGATCCTGTCTAACCGCGTCCGGTCGCGCGTGGTCCTTCCAAGTGCCGTCCGGTTTGGCCCGGCCCCGTTCCATCTGGTCCCATCTGGTCTCGTCCAGTTCTATCCAATTGGTCCTATCTCGCCTGTTCTCGTCTGGTCCCTCCTCGTGGGCAAGGTCCCGTACGATCCCGCCTGCTCCCGTCCGTTCCCGTTAACTCCCATCCATCCCGTCAGTCCGTTCCAGTCCCATCCAGCCTCATCCAGTCCCATCTGCTTCTCCCGTGGCCACAGCTTTATCCACCTCTCATACCACGTGTCAAATCCTGATGACCCTTTTATTTTAAATCATTATGACCACTAGTGTTAACTTATCTGACTTCACCTTTACCCACGTAGATGTTCTGCTTTTATGCTTATTTCGTTGCTGCTTTTATCTCCGTTGACTTTGTGTGGTTCGACTTTTCCCGACTGGCTTTTATCACTATCCACTTGCATCCCTTCCGACTTGTTCCGTATGATTTTTTCCATTCGAGCTTTGGTCCGGGACGCCGTCGGTCGGCACACGCTGAGCCCAGAGCGTCACGGCCATACGGCAGCTCAGTAGCCGAGGCCTGAGGCGGGAGCGACCAATCACTCTTGCACAGGCCGCATTACCGATCAACACCGCAAACTAGTGAAGATTACCGCGCCGCAGACGTCATTACGTTGCTGCGCACAGGGCGGGCAAACCACTGTTACGCCTGGCAACAGGATAAAACGTAACTTTTCAGTGATCGGTGTGATCATTTTTATGTAAACATAAGGTAAGAATTTAACAGTACACGCGGCCAGAAGACAACCGTGAGGCATGAAGATGACTCAGAGAGTGCTCCGCCGGCAAGCTATCGCCGCCGCCCACCGTGATGTGATTGTAGATGCCCATGCTCCAGCCTCGGGCGTCCACCAGCCGGTAGAGGGCAGCCAGCTTGCAGCGCGTGGCCGCCTCTTCCGCCGAGTACTTGGAGCCGGTGCTGATGTCATTGACGGGTATCGGTCTCGCACCTGCCGTGACCGCGCGGGCGTTGACATGTCTCGGAGCGTCCAGCGTCTCGAGTTTCTTGGCATTCAGTACAACAGTGGACAGTTCAGTTCCGGCCCAAACCATTTCGGTTACTACGGCAGTGATGCAGTCAGGAGTTCGCCCAGGAGGGACCAAACTGGGCATTTCGGTTAAAAGGATCCGCTTTGTCTCCATAAGGGCTCTGTTTTGGGATGGATTCGGGACCGTTTTAGGTTTGGGATTTCATTTCCATGCCCCAAAGGCCAGTGCCCGATGTTTAAAAAGCCCTGCAAGCGTCTCAATTGCCAAAAAGCATTGGGTTCTCCGGGGGCCTCGTCCCCAAAAGCCACCCATCCCCTGCAACACCCTGGCCTATAGCATCCCCGAATTGGATGATTCGGATGATTGTCATTTGGATGGATAATTATCATTTCACGTGATCCTGGTTTCATGGCGATACATTTCTAGTTTAAGCATTTGGCTGATGTTGGTAAAGGATTACTTCAGAAAACTTCATCACAACACACAAATCTGCACACGTAAAATACCCCCCCTAAATAATATGCATTTCACAGCATTTTTAATTCCATCTCTTTGAACCACTTTTCGGGCTTATGTAGAAAGGACGCAGCCGACTGAAGCTGTTTGTAGGAGATCCTCACCTCCCAGACCGCCGAAGCAGCGCGCCGACTTCGTGAGCTGAGCCGCCCGGCAAAATGGCCGCCGGTCGCCGGTCCGCAGCAGGGAGCACAGAGAGCGCAACATCAGTGGGCCGGTTACAGATTCCTACAAACGGAGACGGCGCATCAACTGTAGACAGCCCGGCAGCTTGGTGCGTCCTGACTCTGGGCAGGTGCCAGGCCGGTCGACTGAGTCGGCCGCGCAAGGTCGGCGCGGTAAGGCCGGTGGTGAGCCGCTATCTCGAGAGATAGCTTTAATCGTGCATCTCTGAGCCGGGCACTTCAGCGAGCTGAACAATGCTTCGACAAAACAGCGATGAAACAACAGAAACCTTCAATACCCAAGTTCTTCTTCAGTACGATAACTACGCTACTAAGAAGATTATCATATTATATATCATTTTCCATCAAGGTTAACGGTTTTAACATGTTAAAATATGTCACGGGGTCCAAATCGCGTATCAACACTACTACATATGTGTGAATTAGTACAAAATCCAATTGTTGACCAGTCGAGAACACCAGCGAAACTTCCTTCAAATTCCATGGGCCCGACGACCATTTTGCCTCGGACATAGCGGGTTTTGCAATGTTCTGTCTCCCGTTCGCCTAGTTATAGTGATTTGGCTCCTCGATTGACGCACTTTTACATGGATGCGTTCAGCTGGTTTACAATGCCTTGCAATTTTTTTCGATGACCTAGTCCCAAGCTGAGCGAGCTGAGACAAACATATGTCGTACCGAGGTTCCTCGAAATGCATACCGAGCTCCACTCGCTGTCCAAACATCATGAAATAGATAAGTGGGCGTTCACTAATCTTGAATAACTTCCTATCACATTGCGAAAAAATTGTCTTGTTTATAGATGTAAGTTACAAATAAGTGCCTCCAAGGAGATCTCATCTCGTAAGTAAAACTTTCATGGACTTTCAGTTTTCAGTTTTTCAACTTTGATGGTATTCAGTTTTTAAATCGAACAGGTGTCAAGTTAGCGGCACGTTCATATTGAAATTAGTTTCTAGTGTCAATTCCGCTTCAAACTGTTAATTGGTTGACACGCACCCGGGTGGCCGGCTGGATACCCTTCGCTCGGGCGGGGGTGGGGGGTCAATTTGACCCTCCTGAGATGTCGGGAACTAAGGAAGCCAGATACACCAAATTTACAGGGTATATTGACCTGTATGTGAACTCAATTGGGGTGAAGTTTCGGCTTCCTAGGTCACGGTCTTTGGGTCAAATAAAATCAACAAGGTCAAATTCCAGGTTGGTCCCCAAAGTGCCCCCAGAACCCAGATAACCGTTTAAAAGCAAAGGGGCACATGCTCATTTAAGGTCAGTGAACTTTTTGACCGTTTGAAGGTCATGGTGACCAAAATCATGCAAGATTTCTCTGAGTTTTGCATTTGAATACGCGACAAAGATTACGCTAGGTAGCATGTTCTTAAAACAAAATGTTGACCTGGGCCATTTTATGTCAATGACCTTTTCTGACCTCTAAGAAGTCCATGGAAGATGTATAATGCGGTTGCTGCTATGAATACATTCGAAATGAGCACCAGAAACCATCCCATACAGCCCTAGAGTAATAAAACAGGTTGTCTTCGACCTTGGTCTGACCTTTATACATGAGCTTAGGTCAATGTTATTTGCTCATTCAACTGTCGTGTTGCCTAAAAAACATCTCAGAGATGTATGACCTCGTCTGACACTCCGTTATTGCATCAGATTGAACGAATTCCTAGAAATTGACTTCGCTGAACCCATGGCCTAACTTTGACCTGCCATAGGTCAACGACCTTACATGGTGCATCTAATTTTTTAATGCCAAGCGATCCGCTATTAATTGTCTACAGTTGAGCAAAATTTGACGCGGCTACGCCGCGTCGTTCCAAAACCATTCTGGAAAAACTTCGGGGGGGTCAATTTGACCCCCCATCCAATCGCGCCTTGGTCGTCTGCAAATCACGACAATGGACCCGTTTTGCTCGCCACAAACGGTTTGATTTCCAGGGGTCAAAGCAAAGAGTCAAGCAGCAACAATATGACATGAACCCTTGTCCCGATTCGCTGTTTCCATGACGCGGACTGTTAAGGTCTAAGCAAGAAGGGTGATTTCAAGGTGTGAAGATATAGCTTAGCGGAAAACACCAGCGGATTGATGTCAGCAAGACCTCGTGATTGGTGCTGGTTTTTATGTTGTTCAGTTAATAATTGACCTTTTATGTCACGTCAGGGGTCACAATTTCGAGAAAATGGCACGTTTTTAGCTTCACATCACACAGACAGGACCGTGCCTCGTAGCGACGCAAAACCAAGGTAGGCGTGCTCCTCGTTCTCTTCTGAGAACAGTGATTCACAATTGTCAGTTGTATCATTTTAAATGTAATCACATGTATGCAATGTGTTGCCGTGATGCAATGTCGTCAAGATATTATCATAAAATGATGCATATGTTTGCGTGTGT